TGTCAAAAATAGAGCGGTTAGATCTTCGATGTTCGGCTTTAAAAAAAATTACACAATTGTATCTTACATTCCAAAATCACGCAAAAATGTTATATTACTTTCGTCCCTTCACCATTATGATAACATAGATAATTCAACAGGAGACAAAATGTTACCAGAGGTTATTAGTTTCTATAATATGACAAAAGGCGGTGTGGATGTGGTCGATGGAATAAATGTGTGGGAGTTATTCTGTTGCTCGGAGTTGCAGAAGATGGCCACTGAGAATTCTATTCACAGTTATGGATATAGCTGGCATAAATAGCCAAGTTATATACAAGTTCAATATCACATATGTTACCAAAAAACGACGAATATACCTACAAGAACTAGGAATGACTCTAGTCAGAGAAAACATGGAAGTCAGAAAAAATAACCGAAGATTACCAAGGGCACTGCGAGGCAAAATTTTTGAAGTTCTTGGCCAACCTTATTCTCATCCAAGATTCCCAGAGCCTGGACAATCTAGGAGATGTACTATATGCCCAAGGAGTCGTGAAAGAAAAACAAGATATGCATGTACAACCTGCAATGCATCCTTATGCATGGAACATGCTTTTTTTTTTGTGAAAGTTGTGCTTGGTCAGAATAAGAATACAGTTTCACTTCAAGTAAAACTTTTTATATCAACATGTTTCTTATTCATTTGGCTTCAACTGAATGAGTTTTGCATACTAAAATTTTCATTATTTGTTATTGAAATCGGTTTTCTAATGCCACCATGTTATTTTCTGTTATAAAACCATAATTTCTTTTTTTTCTATGAGAATAAAGACTAATTTGCCAATATGATTTAGTTTCATTGTAGCCAAGATTCCATAAAATGCCTTGATAATCAATTAGTCTGAAACAATTGATATTTTTCAGAATTAGATATATATTCCTTATGAGGTATGTGAAACCCCACCTGAGTACTTATGTTATTTTTTTCCGCCTAGGTAACGCCGGGATAACTGATAAATCTATATGAATAATTAAGTAAACTCCACCCAGGGCTCACATTCATCACTTTTTGTTTATATTCCACAATGATTCATTATCATTGGACAATGAATTCGACCAATCACATTGCACTGCCCGTCATATGCACCCACAAATGTCAATGGAAAATTCTGACATTTCACAACTTCACCATACCACGTTAGGCGTCCCGCTCTGCATATCAAATTGATAAACTGTTTAACATAAATAACAACATTGTTCTATTTTACCATTGAAGAAACATGTTTTCCAGTATCCTTCTAAAAACTAATAAATCTTCACAAAATCCCAAGTCGATGAAAATAGCATCACTGCCATCTATCGTGTAAAAGCAGAAATATTAAGTCAAAATGTACTCTTTGAATAGAAAGTAGATCTATTGTAGATGGCAATAGTAGCAGAGAATAATAAATAAAGATTTGGGAAATGCGCAAGTCACGAGATTGCCAGTCTGAAGTATCCCCCATCCATGTAACCGAGTTGGCCCCTCGTGGCTTTACGTTTATGAAAACATTATGAGTGGAGAGAGTGTTCACTAAGATGGCGATTTGTTGAGTTGTTTATTGAAATGGAGTGCAAAAATTTTGTGAATGTCAGCTTCAAAAGTATTCCTAGTCCAATGGTTGTTGTGTGGGCTGTATTGGTAGTGAATACAAATTCGCAGTAACGTGGAATAACAATAGAAAAATGCGTGAATTTAAAGTTGTAGTTCTCGGATCGGGTGGGGTTGGAAAAAGTGCACTAACTGTTCAGTTCGTTTCTGGGTGTTTCATGGAGAAATACGACCCCACGATCGAGGATTTTTATCGAAAGGAAATCGAAGTGGATAACTCTCCGTGTGTGTTGGAGATTTTGGACACAGCAGGTACAGAACAATTTGCTAGCATGCGCGACCTCTACATAAAGAACGGACAAGGGTTTGTCGTAGTGTATAGTTTAACAAATCATCAAACATTTCAAGACATCCGCCCTATGAAAGAACTTATTACGAGAGTTAAAGGGACCGAGAGGGTTCCTATTTTACTTGTCGCCAATAAGGTGGACTTGGATCATCAGAGAGAAGTAGACTTCGCGGAAGGTAATAGTCTTTCTCAACAATGGGGATGTCCTTTCATTGAAGCTAGCGCCAAGAACAGGACCAACGTGAATGAGGTTTTCGCAGAAATAGTCCGTGAAATGAACTTTAATCCAGAGAAGCCAAAGCCAACTTACTGCTGTTGTACAGTGCTCTAATATCGGCGGTTTTCTCCTCTGTTGGGAACAATCTATTAACAGGCGACACTTGCTTTGTTACTGTGAACTGCTAAACTGACTATGTCATCTGTTATTTTCAAGGTTTAGCATTTCCGGACAATTATCACGGATTTTTTATTGTAAATGCTCATTTCTAGTATACTTCAATGGCTTAGAACTGCACAATATCTATATTTTTATACATTGAACAAAATTTTCGTAAATAATGCATGAAAATGTATTTTATTTACTAGTTTTTTAAACTGAATCATATCTACCATAAGATCTATTGATAGTGCCTGATTAAAAACTGCGACTAAAACGCATGGATAGTGGTACTGGTACTATTCGGCCTAAATTTTTTTGCAAATGGTCAACCTCCAAGTGAACTAACACAAGCATGGGCCTTCCAGTATATTCGCCATGCGAATATTCTCCGATATGGTTCTGTAAACGTGAGCTCATAATGTACATATATTATAAAAATTTTATCAAAGATCTGTGTTTGTTACATAGGAACTTTTTCAATCAAAAAGTGATGAGTGCTTGAAGATGCGTGCTTGTAGAACTAATTAATGTTTTTGAAATTAAAAAAATGAAGCTGATAGGATGTGTGTTCTGAGAGCCAAAAAGGATTTGTGATATATACGTATTATAATAAAATTTAAGTGGAAAGTTATGTATTGTTTCATTGTGCAAGGTGCAGAAATCATCGAGTCGAATGTGTACATTCATCTGCAGTAAAAGGTATTGAAATGTTTAATCAAAGTTTTCATCTTGAAGTGGAATAATGCAAGTTTTAAGCCACAAGTCATAGTTCGTAAGAAGTTGAATAACTGATTGCTAATGAAAACATTCATGCATATCTCGCATGTTTTTAGTCATAAGAAATGGTGACCATTGTGAATTGTACGACACAAAAACTTTTAACCTGAGACTCATGACTTTAGATTGGTGTATGAATCCACTTTTATACTTAATAACATGTTATGAAACTTGACAATGAGATATCATTTTTCATCAACATATAATACTTTCACATGATTTTTTTATGGGGGGTGTTTTTTATGGGTGATTATGAAATTAGGATTAAAATTTTGAAATGGTTTTATTCTCAAACTTGATTATTCAGAAAATGATTATAGGAATTCTTTTTTGCTATCATTATAAATTTTGCAGCCATTACTTTTCATCATTTGTCCACATGTCACTCTTTTTTTTCAACTGTTTCAGTCCATGTCGATCATTATCAATTTGACCAATGGAAGATAAAATACAAAACCTTCATATTCATAAACTTTCTTCAATGATTACGATTGCTCTTCCAAGAGAAATCAAAGATATTCTAACCTGTTTATGTCTTTGTATGAATCTTTGGCTAAAATGAATCTAAAAAAATGATTTTCCATACAGCAGAACTGTTAAACAGTAATTGGAAATATGATATCCAATCTGATATCCAATCCAATACCTACCTAATTTATTACCATAGAAAATATTCACAGTCACAGTGACAACATTATTTTAAGTCCAAACATTTGATCATTCCAGTTTGGTTAACGAGACATGTATAAAATATTCGTTATTTTCTTTTATCCAAAATCAAAAGCATGAGTATTTTTCTACTGTACTTACCTAATGTTTGTTTGAATGTGGGTGACAATGTTGTATTTCATCAGTTCGGACTTCGATTGTTATATAGACAATGGAAGTCCGAACTGATGAAAAAAAACAGTGTTTACAATGCAGATTCAGTTTCTTTGTAGATAGCCTTGCCAAAATATCAGGTTTGGTAGACTTTTTTGAATTGGTCATTTTGCAGTCATAAATCTGAATCCGACCAGAACTATAGGGCTAAACTCGTAAGTCTTCAAGTGCACTTTACTTTAAAAAAAATAACGAGCATAAATTGGAATTCTAAAGGCATCCTAGAGAAGGTTTATATCAGTGGATTTTATTCGTCGATCTTTTACGACCTCAGAAAAGGGACATGGATTTTTTTTATTTATTCACCCCCAAAATGGCGCCCAGAAAGTTATTTCCTTGGCGCCTTTTTGGCTTCCAGAACCTAACCTAAATGTACAGTCAAAATAAAGGTGTTTATGATTATAAATTGAGAGGGCAGCAAAATTACCAGGGAAATTGGGGTTTCGACGGTGTCATAAAGCACAATTACCAGTGCCTATATTAAAAAAACATATGTNCAATGCTCCACCTGACAAAATAAAAAAAAAGCCATTCAAAGAAATCACGAATAATGGCGAAGAACGTGTTCCATTCTATAAATAATTCATCGATATCAAATATTTGTTACTAAATAAAAAATCAATCTTCACTATAATTTACACTTTTCATTTTAATTTTTTCCTCATACAAATGGTGTCTATCGTAAAGATGACTGTTATTGATACAAACTGCGTCTATGAAAAATGTTCAGAGCATTCTTCAGCAAACTTCAAGGATTGCAAATAGAAACTATTATTATGATTGTCACTCCAGAACAAATATATGTGAAAAATAAGTTCCTAACTTAGTAAGTTTACAGTTACACTGTACATAAGGATCAAAACACAAAACTGCGATGTCATCATCTCACAAAAACCTGCAAACTTGTATGGTACATGGCATGAACCTTGTTTTTAACAATTTAAAAAACTGTGGGTGATCAATTCGACACTTACGAAAGTTAACTTATAATAATTCATTAAGGCTTCCAAACAAATATACAAATGTTGTAATCAGTGTGAAAGCAGCCACAGTTTTCAGCTATGAATCACCTGCTCCCAACGTGGATATCAAATTCGTGGTCAGCCACGAATTAACTTCAATTCAATTCAAAGTTGTCGAAGATATCAAAGAGTCAATAGATTTTGTCAACTCCCACCCTGCACAAAATAATTTTCCAAGAAAAATCTGTAAAATATTGAAATATTATGCATTTTTCTTCAAAAAATTTTTATACTTATATGGGGTGGGGCAAGAGGTGAGAGTTGATTCTTCCCGACAAAATATAACGACATGGTTCATGTTGGGTTCGCTGATATGAACACATTAATGAAAAAAACCCATCCACGAAAGATTTGAAAGAGATGGCGATTTAACGAAAATATATACGAGGTTGATTTTCCGCCCGACAAAATATTTCGACATATGCCTCTTGTTCAGTATTCTATATTCTATCGTTGTTCTCCGAGGCGTGTTGAGCGACACTACAGTACATATCCGAAATCGGATATGTACTGCGTGTTTTTTGAAACAAGTTTCAAGGGCTCGCTTAGTCTGACCGATATATTTTTGTCATAGTCCTCACAGATTACTTCATATATCCACGTCTCTTCATTATCCAACGTCCTGTCTTTAGTGTTACCTAACATATGCTTTCACTTTCACGTCTAACTTTTTGAAAATACGATCTAATCCCTTGGTGTATCTTGGTTCATACGGAAGGACAATACACTTTCAATCCATGTATTTTCGAAAAGTCGAAGTTTTACGAAAAATCTTCCTAAATTCAAGTCTTTTATCTTTGAAGCATACTCGTTGCTTTCAGCTATGTCCTTGATAACATTTTTCTCAACTCAAGGGGGACAAAACAAGCCAGTTTGTGGACAATTGTGTGAGCTATCAGGAATATAATTATCCAAAAGTATTGGTATTCTTTCAGTAGCCTCCAAATTCCAGACCATGGTTAGTTTTAATCACTAAGACATTCAAGAATGGCAACTCCTTGCTGTTTTCAATTTCAAATATACTTAATATCTTACAAGAGTTGAAACAATGTCTTCTAATACCTTTAATTACTCTGTGTTAGAGAGTGCAAATACATCATTTACATATCGGATCCAAGTCCGTGGAAACTAATCTATCTCCTCTTTTACTTTCAATTCAAATCTGCCCATGAACAGACTAGCTATAAAAGAGGAAAATAGTTTTCCCATTACCGTGCCTTCATGCTGTCTTCATTCTGTTTCATGTAGATTTTTGTTAAAAATTGAATATAGTCTTCGATTACTTCTTTACTGAGACCATTGACCCTCAGAAGATCCCTCAGATATTCTACAGTTTTTGGTATAGTGACACTAGAAAACAACGAGGATATATCAAATGATGATTAAACAGTCTGAAATTGTTGAGACAGTGGCAATTCATGTAAGTATACATGGAATTCATTGAATAGAAAATAAAGATACATTTCACTATTCAAATGATCATCGTAAAAGAAAGGGCCAAGAATGTTTGTTTCCACAATTCCCAACATTTAATCCGAACCTTTTTTGGAAATTGGTTTCTCTATGTAAATGTTCATTTGTATTATTACACCTATAATGGATATTTCTGTTTAACCAACCATTGTTGGTGAATTTTGATTCGCCCGTCTATATTATTTTTTACAAATATTTCCAACTTCCCTATTTCTACGTTTTAAACACTTTCACTGGAAGTGTGAAGAATCAAATAAATCAAATATAATCGTCTGATCATTTGGATGTTCGGAATACGACGATTCGGGTATTGCCAAAAGAGGATTCCTATTTGATTTTGCATAACTAAATAGCATATCAGTCCTTTCATCATTTGAATACATCTTTGATATGTTCATAAATGTCTGACAGTTCTCAACAGATATCAACAACGCAAACAAAGGCTATGCGTTTAAGATGGTAATTGAATTGAGATGTTATTTGATCATACCAAATTATACAACAGGATTGAGAATTATAAAAATATNATCCTTTTATTTCGAAAACAAGTTACGTTAATTTCATTTGGAAAAAATCTTAGGGGGATATTTTTTTTCATGAACGATTGACAAAAAAAATACAAAAATTTGTCAATGAGTTGCTTATGTAATATCGATTTTTTAGCAGAGATATAATACCTACAAATTAACTGAAAACAGGTGTCGGTGCTGTGCAATAACTCAAAATCTATTGCGGCAGTTGTAGGTATCGCCAACAGCATATGGAGGAATAACTTCAGTGAAGAATCCATTAACCTGCAGTGTAGGTAATTTGAGAGCGGACTGAACGAATTGTTTTTTTAGATAATTTGATTTACAGCCAGTGTCCAAGTATGTGTTTTCGTCCTTATACGAGGAATTGGTCAAATTTCGGATATGAGGTTGGTTACCTCGTTCACAGGCAGGTGGGACGATGACAAACCTGTTGTTTGTTGTCCGCTTCAGCCTAGTTCAAGGAATGATACTTTGAAGGAATTCTATTTTCAATTATCGGAAATCATCGACTTTATGTTGGTTATAGACACTACCTTGCACTGACTAGTGGCCAAACAGTCCGCCAACATATGCAGGAATAACTTCAGTGAAGAATCCTGCAGTGACACCTGTCGAATATAATACAACGCCCTTCGTGGCATTAACCAGGGGAGTAGATGTTTTCTGATAGGTGACAGTCCATTAACCTACAGTGTAGGTAATTTGAGACTGGCCTGAACGAATTGTTCTTTTAGATAATTTGCTTTACAGCCAGTCTCCAAGTATGCCCACTCAATTTGTGAAATAATACCCACAATTCATGTTTTTGTTACCAATGTGAAAGCAGCCATGGGCTTTAGCCACAAATTGGGGAATCTTCACGATTTTTGAAAAAAATTATAAAGGACTCAAATATACGTATTGCAGTACCTACTACTGCATGGCCGAAAATATTCTTACAACAC